TGAAATTCTTGTCTGGAATTGTGACTCCTGCTAGTATTGAAACTGAGATGCTCCAGTCCTGGGTCACCTTCCTATCCAGAAAATTACTTTGTTGGAAGTTCCCAGTGCGTACCCCCCACTCCAGATTTAGCCTTTATATTGTGGTAATGCAAACAGAAACTTTTTGTTGAAGTGACTCTATTCTTAAGGCTCTTAATGCACTGAAATTCTTTAAAATGTCAAGTTGAAATACTGTTCAGTAATTGTGTTTTCAGCCAGGATTGAATAACCTGTTACTTTATATATTGCAGAAATTCAGTTTAGTTCTTTTTCCCCCATGTATTGATAATACAGATTTCAACTTTGTTATAGGACATTAATATGTAACTTTCCCTGCAGTTTTAAATGCAAACTGTCTTTAATATATATGCAAATGACCTTTTCCATAGAAGTAAAATTTCACATAAATTGATAATTAGCAATTCAGCTTCTGCTGTGTAACGTGCATTATAACATTAAAGTGCTAAACAGATCTGATTTTGAAAAGGATTCAATGTGAACTGTGACTTTTGGCATCACATTGTGAAGCAGTGCAATGAAGAAATAGTAAGACCTAAATGTATAGACCTAGTCATCCTAAAAAAGTTTTTATGATCATTAGAGTGGGTCATAAAAGCTGAGTTTTGTGTATGATCACTCCTGAAGTTTTTCTGGTTGGTCTTTAAGTCTTTTGGGCTATAGGGAAACTTTTTCCATGTGATTACCTGTAATTTGCATGCTGAAATGGAACATAAAGGCAGAATGCCATTTTTATTTGTGCCAGAGTGCCCTGTGGTACCTGCATTCATTTTGCTGCAGGTGGGGATAACAAAAGGTGTCAAAAAGCTGCCAGGTAAAATCTGCTCAGGAGGTGTTGGGTTCCTCCATCCTCTCTTAGCCTGGAGGGTCCCACACTGCTCTCCTCAGCTGGGAACTGTGGATTAACTCTGGCACTGAGATGTTTTTAAGGTCCAGGCCCAGCTCAGTGGTGGGGTAAAACCCTCCCCAGCACTTCTGGCTCTGTCAGTGCTCCCTCCACTGCTGCATTGACTCTTTCCAAAAAAAGCATCTGGTTTTCTAAGTGCTGCTCCCTCAGATATCAAAGGGGAAAATGAAACAGGAATGTTGCTGTGGAATTGCCTTCCCCAGTGCCAGGCCCTTGTCCCACTGTACTTTGCTGAAATCCAGTGGATGAAGCATGAGCTGCTCCTCAGTTGGGATATTAATCATGAGACACACAAAGCTGTTTTGCTGAGTGCTGTGTTAGATGTCATTGTCTTTGGAACTTCTTTTTTTGGTCATCTTGATGCTCTGTGGAGAAGCTTTCTGCACATCTGTCTCTTTTGGAGGGAGAGCTCCTATCTTCCAGGAAAAATGAGACCACTCCATCAAACTGAATTGAGGGGCTTGGTGGAAACCTTATTTAACCATAGTTTTGGGCACCATTTCAAACAAAATATAAATCAGGCCAGATCTGTTTGAGCTAAAGCTCAAATCTGCCAAGAAGATTTGCAGGCTTGAGAAAATGCAGTCCAATTTTTACATCTTGCCCTGAAACCCCAACTTGCTACAATTTGATCACCTTTACAGACACTCTGTGCAGCTCCAACGAGACACCTTTTTTCAAACACTTCATTTAAACTTTATACCACGAGAAGATGTGAGCTCCCACTTTCTCCAGCTCTGCAAGGAAAAAAAAAAAGACTGTGGCTGTTGTGTTTGGAAGTGTATGTGCAGTTACAGGAGTGATTTGCAGAGGAACAGAATTTGTTTCACTGTGTGGCTGGGGGAAGAAAACACTTGTGAAGTGTTCCAGTCCTAATTTAACGTGCTGCAGTGGATAACTGCAGCACTGCCAAGAGAGAGAGCCCAGCAAGATGTGATGTAGAGCAAGATAGCATTTCCAGAGATGAAGAGCTGTTTCTTCTGGGGGTTGCTGGTGGGCTGTGGTTCTCCACTGGAGTAAGAAGTACTGAAATGAAATTCACGTTTTCTGTGAAGTGCTGAGGTGGTGAGCAGTGCTGCTGTGGGGAGTGCAGATGCAGAATAAATCAGATTTTAATGTGGGTGTTCTTGAGGACTTCACAGACTCTGGGATTTCACCTGGGCTCTCTGAGGAGCCTGTGATGAATCCTGATAATCCTCTGAAGGGCTGAAGGAAGTGTTGTGGCAGAGATGTGTGTCCTGCTCCTGGGGTTTGAGACACAGATGTGCTGCCTTGCAGTGCCTCTCCCTGGCTGTGGTGGACTTAATCAAGTTTGTTTAATGCAGGCACTTAATTCCCATTCTGCTTTTCTGCCATACCCTCACTTGCTCAGGAGTTTACTTGACCATTTTAAAAGAAAAGCTCAAATATGGAAGGACAGCCATTGTCAAAAACCACCTCTCTGGTTTTGGCTAGCTAATTATTTTACTTCTTTCTTTATTCTTTAGCAAATGCTGGAAAAATAATTATTTTTTAGACCTCTTATTTTTTTTCCAGTTCTGAGAATGTTTGAGATTAGCCAATATGGGTTTGTTCTTGAGACTATGCTATGTGTTATAAATGAGCTTTTATTTTTAAATATTTTTGCAGCAATAAGTTGGGGGTGAAAAAAGTGCCTTTGTTTGCCTAATGATGTTGGCTTTATGGATCCATAGAACATCAGTGCTTTAATTACTACAAATGGATAATAAACACTTTGCTGGATATGAGAATGGGAGAGACACAGTGTGACTGTCATTAGGAACAATTGGATTTTCTCGTGATAAGTTGGTAAAAAATGTAAATACTACAAATAACTGCCTGAGGGCTTGTTTAGATAACGGTGCCAGAAACCAGGCAGCAAAACTGGGTTTTACAGAAATTGCTTCCTCTGTTGGAGCTGAATACAGAACAAGCTGAATGCACATTCTCACATAAGCTGTGATGTTTTTCAGCTTCTTTGTGACCATTTTGCATTAAGATATCTGGTGCATCCTTGAATTACTGGAAAGACCTGGGTATTGGCACAGGAGTGGTTGGGATCCATTTTATTTCTGTAAAACCATCGCAGGGCTGTTAAAATCTCTGCTCTGCCCATGGATTCCCTATCAATATATTGGAAATTTCCACCTTGCTGGAGCCCCTGGGGGCTGCCAGAGCACTCAGAGGGGAGGGAGCAAGGCAGGGCAGAACTCTGGTCAAAAATCTGGATGTGGCTTGGGGGTGCTGGCTCTGGCACCCCAAGCAGGTGCTGATGGGAGCACTGGTCAAGCTGCTCCTGGTGTCCAAGGGTTGTTTTGTAGGGAGCTGCCACGCCATGAATTGAGGAGGAGGAAGCACAAGATAAATTAGCTGTGCCATCCTTTGTAGGGGAGGTTTTATGATGTATTCTTTCCTGTCTGGGACTCCCATCATACCTAGCCCTTAAAATGAGGGCTGGTGAATAATGGCTTGGGCAGGCAATAAATACATAATGCAATGCCACCTTTGAACCCTGTAGCTTGTGTGTAGGTCAAAGATTATATGGGTTGTAACTATGATTTATGCCTTCAGTCTCTTGGTATTTTTTAGACCATCTTTGCTTGTCTGCTGGTATGACTTTAATTATTTAATTATTCTATTTTAGGAGGCCACTGTGATCCTTCTGATACTGCTACAAAGTACACTTTTTATTTTTCTGAATATGACATCAAACTTTGTGTTCAACAAAAACTTGTGTTTAATTATATTCAGAAAAATGTCAATAAGTACATTCATGGAAGTGTCTGTATTCAAGTTTAACAATTTGTTAAAAGGAGAACTTGATTCATTATTAGTACCAGGCTTAGCAATTGTCTCTCTGAGCAAATAATGTAAACTTCCTAATTGTTGCAGAACGGTAATTACAGACATCTTGACAGCTTCTGTATTAATTAATCTCTCAGCGGTTGATCTGAAATTTTTCAAGTGATGAATGATGGCTTGATCTCAAAGCTTCCAAGATGGATGTTGTTTGATGTTTAAAGTGCATCAATCAACCCTTAAGCAGAACTTGACAAAATAATGTGATTGAGATGTTTTCAGGTCTCTCCTGGTCCTGTGTCTCTGCTGTACCTGAGGTCTGGGCTCACCTGCCTCATGCTGAAGGGCTTTCTGATGACATGAAAGCAAATATTGATGTTTAGTTCCACTCTGCTGTTCAGCTGGCAGGAACTCTGCTGCAGATGAATGGGACCTGCTCCCAGTCCTGCAGGGAAAAGGTGCTCACACAAAGATTTCTCTCATTCCCACCCTTTCAGGCTGAGCTGCTGCGTCTGGTGGGGTGTGAGCACCTTGTGTTTGCTGCTGCAAAGCAGCTCCCAAACCCAGAGCCCTGGCAGTTCAGACACTTGGATGTGTTCCTTTCCTGGTCATTCCCTTTGCTCTGGTGTTTGAAGTTCCCTGTTCTGGGGAGCAGTGGGTGCTCTTGACTCACCTTGATTCTTGTAGGATCCCTCAGTGCGCAGCTTTCACTCAGTGCCTTATGCAGCATTTGGCAGGCTTGTTTTGTGCTCCCTGAGGCTGTTGGAGGTAATTTGCTCCTGGAAGAGGTTGGCTTTATGGTATCTGCTCAAACAGTGCTGCAGCAGCTAAGCAATCACTGCATTCCCTCTTCAGTGGCGTGCTCAGGGTGCTTTGACACCTGAGGGGAGTGACTGATGTGATGGGCTCAGCCTGGAAGGGAGGGAAAGGATCACAAGTGTCACTGGTGTGTCACTGGAAACCTCAGGAGGCTTTTCTGTGGTTCTTGCAGTCTGTAGGATGAGGAGGATGCTGGCTGGGGCAGTGTGTGCAGCCTAAGTGCTCAGAGAGGTTGCTGCCCTGGCAGTGCCACAGCCTGGCTGGGTGTTGGCAGTCCCTGTCCTCAGTGCCAGCTCTGTTTTTAAATCTGCTGCCTCTACAGCACACAGCCCAAAGATTCCAAAGCCATGGTGTCTGCTATCACTGATATTTTAATCCACTGTTAGCCATGCTAATGTACTTTCACTTTGTGTTTCAGTTGTAATGATCTGGATAATCCCATTAACTGTCCTGGAGCTTGAGCAGGGCCCATCAGAAGAAAACCTCAGGACTGCAGCACTCAAATGTAAGTGGTCCTGAACATATACAGTTAACAATCAAGTGTAATTGCAAGGAATAGTGCTTGGAATAGATGACTGCACTCCAGCCCCAGGGCGTTGTGGCAGATGCAACATAAGGTTTAATAAACTAGGTCCCTGTTGCCACTATTACTATATAAGAGTAATAATAGCAGTGAGAGTGAAAACATCCATCAAAAGCTGACAAATCTGACACAGATTATACATATGCACATGCACTGACTAAAGATGCCATTTAAATCTGATGGAACTGCTAATAAAAAATCGTTAATGGTCTTAATGAAACATCATTTTGTTCTTATTACCCCTTTCACGTGAGGTTATTTTTGTGGAAACAATTATTTGAGTGTTGGGAAAAGGTGTTTGTAATTAGAAAAGTAAAGAGCAATATGTTGCCTGATAAATCATAGACACAATAACTCTGTTTAGGAAGCACCTTGTAGTTAAAGCTTAAAGTCAAAACTAAAAGCATGGTGAATATACACACTTAATTTTAGCACAGAGACTGTGTCTTTCTTGTTGTGTATTCCACCAGAAAACCCTGCTAGACAAATGACTCTTATTTCAGTTTGTGGGTGGCCTCGTCGCAGATGTGCTTTTTTAAGAACCAGAAAAAGAACATGTGTGTGATTATAATGAATTTGTGTGTGGGTAGGTTTATTTTTTAAGCAAAAGAATGTCTCAAAAGAAGTAGCAAAGAGGACATTCCTTTGAGCTGATCTCGCTGTTGCTGCTGGTGGTGCCGTGAGTGTCCCACTGAGGGGGCTGATGTCTTTGTTGGAGCTGGCAGTGGTAACTGCAGGATACAGTTCTGACATGATTTGGGCAGGTGACAGCTTGGGCAGCACCTGGTGGGCCAGGTCATCCTTCCTCCTCCTCCTCTGGAATGAAGTGTTCTGAGATGCACTGCTGAAAACCAGTGTGGGTGTGAGTGGGTTGGGGGAAACTGTTCATATAAGTCAATTTTCATGGCAAGATCCAGTGCCAGTGTCCTATTTAAAGAAGAGCAAGCTGCTTGTCACACAGACCTAAAATAGCAGTGTAAATAAAAGAAAGGTCTGGTTCAACGGTGCTTGCAGCTGTTTTCCATCCCTGTTTGCTCCTCACTTACACTGAGTGCACATCTTTGGAGTTCAGCTTCCACATCAATGCTTCTGCCTTAAATTCCGAAGTGTAAGGTGGAATGCAAGCCCTGTGGGCTGCTGCTGAGCTGTGTGCCCTGCCCAGGGCTGGAAGCAGATGCCTGCAGCAGGTCCCAGCCTGGCAGGGAGATGCTGTGCTGCCAGCTTTGGGGCTGGCATCTGTGTGTCAGACACATCACTGCTCACTGGGACAGCAGCTACCTGTGATGCTCTGGGGCTGTGCAGGAAGGGGGGACTCCCTCCCACCAGGCAGAGTCTCAGATCCTACTAGAAATCCTGTTATCCCTGTTTCGTGGTTTGGTTAAATAATTTTTTCTCAGCCTGTCAACCATGGTGGCAGTCACAGAGCCTGCAGGCTTAGGGACTCCCTCCTGTGTGATCCACCAGCTCAGAGCAATTCTGAGCATTTCCTGCTGCTCTCCTGCGACATCCAAGGGATCTGGGTACCAGTGTGCTTGTGCCTCATCAAAGTCAGTGCAAGCTGAGATCCTGATTCGTGCAGCTTGGAGCCTGTTGCTGGAAAAATTCGCTCCACCCTATTTGCATTCAAATGCAAATCTAACAATTGTGTGAACC